CCAAACGGAATGATATAGACTGATTTATTAAACGGATGGTGAGAAATGGATCACATACGATAACCCTGTGCGAAAACGATCGTGTTCAGAGCGGTGAAGCAACTCAAACGGTGGCCAAACCAGGATTTGGTGGGACTGGAAGGGAAATATTTATTATGAGTTGCTTCCCTATGGCCAAACTCTAAATTCTTACCTCAACTATCAACAACAGGACCGTTTGAAGATAGTAATAGACCAGAACAGGAGAGGTGTCGTGTTCCACCAGGGCAACGCAAGGCCACACACATCTACAGTGACTCGCCAGAAACTTCGGGAGTTTAGTTGGGTCCAGATTCGGCACCAAGCGATTATCATCTTCTTGCATTGTAAAATTTATTTAATGATAAAAAATTTGTATCTAAGTAGGATTGTGAAAATCGACTACTTGAATTTTTTACAAATAGAGAGCAGGACTTCTATGAGAGCGACACTATGAAGTTACCTTTAAAATGGCAACAAATCATAAATTAAATAAAGTCCTATATTTCATATAAAAGTAATGCGTTCTCTATGGACATTTAAATTCCCCAAATGAAAATTTATTACATTTCTCTCATTTATTCCACCTATTAATAAATAACACCACCTTTTAACTTTTTTCTTCTTTTTAATTTAACCTCAACAATTACAAAGTATTTAAGTAGATCCTCCCATTCCATTTGTCATGTGTATGGCTATATGTGCAACACATGTGTCAAACTGACAAAGTTCACTTACCAAAATAAAATATTAAAAAAATGAGAAAATAAAACAAATATTAAGTGAAAGATTATTTGCACTTTTTTCTCTTTCGCTCACTCTCTCTCTCATTCACGGCATTCATCAATTTCATGGTGTTACAGTTTGTCAAGTGAGAGATTAAATACTTTGGCACTGGCGTACATACAAACGAATGTATTCATTCCGTCAGTCAGTCATTCATTCCCATCCACTTCTACTAACTTCCAGCCACCATTCCCAGTTCAACTCCAACTGCATTTTCGAACCAACAGAAAAAATATAATTCGCTTAAAAATGCAGAGGATTTTTAATGTGTCAAATTGCGAGGAAAAAAATCGCACAACTAAAGCTGTGAAAAGTTCGATTTTCTTTTTTTTTGTTCCTTACCATCGAAATGTTCACACGACGAGCATTTCATTGTAAATGGTAAAAACTAATAAATTATTCTTCAATCTACTGCAGCAGGAAAATAAGCTGCAGCAATGCGATACCATGAAGGCAACAAAAACGAAAATTGTTACACTTTGTGTTTGGTGTAATTGCAATTTTTTCTTAAGCGTTAGCTGTGATGCATGCTGAGTGCATACAGAGTAACATTTGTCAAAATACTTTTATTTGTCTCATGCCTTAAATATTGGATAGGTGGGAAAGTTTTTATTAGACTTGAAATGTTGAATGCAATATTTCATTAGAGGCTATTTATCAGAACACCTCCATATATTGGTATGATTGTGTCAGTTTCCAACACATTAAATTAATCATTTTGGATCCCGTAAATTATATTTTTAAGAATGTATTTAAATCTATATAAAAAAAAAGTTCATTAAATTAAATATCTCTACTTCGTAGACTCATCTTATTTAAATGTTAGGGTTGCCATGGTGACGTATACTTTATCTCATGCAGTATACGTTACTCATATACATGCACGGTTGTATTCGTATAACAGTTTTTAGTTGCTTGTTAATAGAGTTGCCAAATATGCTAGGTTGGTTAAACAAATGCCTTTTCTATTTGAGTGGAGCATAAACATTAGGGTTATGATATTTTTCTCATAAAATTGATGAAGCAGGAAGTAATGCGTATTAATGATAAAATAACATTTATTCCAATTTATTATTAAAAAGGTCACGATAAAACCACTTTGAAATTATTATTATTTCTTTTTTTTTTTTTTTTTTTGGAAAAACTAGTTCTTTTCCTGTGAGCAAAGTCATGCATTCTTTATTGAAATAGATGAAGATCTATCGTTTTTATACTCATTTTGTAAATCGATTTAGATCAAACTTGATACACGCTATTCGGTAAGCCAAACTATTCTACATTATAATCTCAATCGGACAACTATTTGAAATGTATATGAAAGCCGTGTCTGCATCTGCACCAATTTCAACAAAACGCAATAACACATTCTAGTCTCAATTCGATACGTTGTGCAAAAATTCGTGTCACTCGGCGCACCATTTACCAAAAATCCAACGAAAATATATATGGGAGCTATATCTAAATCTGAATCGACTTCAGCGAAACCTGTCAGAGATTAATTTATATTAAATTCAATACTTTGTACGTTGAACGTTGGGTCTTTAGTGCAAATTTTACATAAAATCGGAAGAAAATATATATGGGAGGCATATCTAAATCTGAACCGATTTTCACAAAACTTAGCACATATCATTCTAGACTTCAGTACGCTATGTCAAATTTGGTGCAAATCGAAAAATATATAGGGACTTTGGTACATCATTTACCTTAAATCGGGCGAAAATATATGGGAGCTATATCTAAATATGAACCGATTTTCACGAAACTTAGCACTCCTCATTATAGACCTAATTTAGTACCCTATGCCACATTTCGTGCAAATCGAAAGATATATAGGGACTTTGGTCCACCATTTACATAAAATCTGACGAAAATATATATGGGAGTTATATCTAAATCTCAACTTAACAAACATCATTCTAGACCTAATCCAAATTTCGTGTGTATCGAGGGATATACAGGGACTTTGGTGCACCATTTACATTAAATCGGACGAAAATATATATGGGAGCTATATTTAAATGTGAACAGATTTTCACGAAACTTAACACACATGGTTCTAGGGTTTATTCAGTACGCTATGCCAAATTTCGTGCAAATCGAAAGATATATATGGACTTTGGTACACCATTTACATTAAATCGGTCGAACATATCTATGAGAGCTACATCTAAATCTGAACTGATATTCAAGAAATTATACACACATCATTCTAGACACAAGTCAGTACGTTATGCCAAATTTCGTGGAAATCGAGAGATATATAGGGATTTTGGTGAACCATTTACATTAAATTGTTCGATAATATATATGGGAGCTATATCTAAATCTGAACTGATGTTCAAGAAATTTTACACACATCATTCTAAACTCAATTCAGTACGCTTTGCCAAATTTCGTGCAAATCGGAGAATATATAGGGAATTTGGTACACCATTTACATTAAATGGTGTGAAAATATATATGGGATTCGGATCATAAATGCGACCTGTACTTTTTTACAATTTAACATAGACAGACATAGACGAACGGACCATGTTTCTATCTCGTTTCCTTTTGCTGTTACAAACATATGCACAAAGACATAATAACCTGTACCTTAGTGTGGTGAAGGGTATAAAAAGAGAAACTCGGATATGGGATAAATATTAAAATAGGTTCAGGGGTTAACATGTCCCGAATATAGATCATACGGAATTGTTTGCTGTAGCAGACTTCATGTTATTTACAAATTTTAGATGAATATTTCCTACACATTACGATTAAGAAGCTGTATAAGTTCCACTGTTCCTTATAAGGTGTGAGTAAATTAAAAACTTAAACGTATTTTCAGCAAAATCAATTTTTTAGATTTATGGTCTTGTAGTAAATGAGCTAGATGGTCCGATTATATAGCACACTGGATATACAGTAAAATCTCGATAGTCCGGCCATCGCTAATCCGGACTGCATTTCACAACATATTGCGTATTTTATAATCGGGAATCTATTTGACTCTAAAATCCGGATTGTGAAGATACATTATTTTTTTAAAATTTTTGTTTTTAACATAGCTATTTTTTTAATAAAATAAAAAAATTTTGTAAATTGTAAGTATCCCTGCTTAAAATCGTATGAACAATAAAACGGATTAGCAAGAAATAAAATAATATAACCTCAAAATATTCACTGAAGCACCTCTGTATCTTTTCATGATCAGTATAGAATTATATGGTGATTTAGCTACTCATAGGATATTTCGTATTGAAAATTGGGTATATCAATCGACGTTTTGGTATAGCTCCCATACCCCTTATATTCCGTATTTCGGGAATATTGGACACGTTTTAAAACCAAATTGGTTGCAATTTTATATTTTGGTCATCATTGGCTTTCACATATAAATTCAGAATTGATAAATTTATATATTTTAGGATTCTCATTGGGTATAAAATATTTTCGGGCACTATTTTTAATCGTATACCTTTAATTTGATATTATTGGCTTCGTTGGGCGCCAAATCTTTCTAATATCGACCCAATTTTCCGTATGCTCAAGGTCCATACTCAATTTTCCAGCCTAAGTCTTTACCATGGCAGAGGCACCATATAAAATTTTGGATCGATTTTACATGTTTTGAATGTCCACCTCTAGGTGAAGGGTATTAAAAATTCAGCTCGATCGACGTTTATTGCTTCTAATTTCACATCTTTTGAAAAGCCTAATATAATATTATATATATTTCCAACTTTTATTTTGCTATAAATCCCGAGGAATACATTCGCAAGCCTTTCGCAACAAAATAACTGAAAATCTCAAGAAATTTTTGAACAAACCTGGTAGATTTTGTTATAGTGCACATATAATTTTACCATATAAAATATAATAGCTTCACTTTATTTAAATTGTTATGATTTTTTGACCCAAATGAACCTAACACCTCTTTTAACACTTCAAAAATATGACATGCTATTCTCCACACTAGCACTTGTTTGTTATGAATTTTTTTGCCGCCATTAAATTAGCAACTATAATATCAAAAACAAATATTTGTAAACATATATTTTAATGCTTTATTTTGCAATATAATATTTCAATAGATATATACATAAATATGGGTGTGTTCAAATAAGTTTTTTTTAATATACATAATAAGTGTGGTGTGAATATGTGTGCACTTTGCTCCACCTCATCATTTCGTCTTCATCAGCATCATATTAAAAAGCTGGTGCGGCGGCAGCGCCAGCTGGAGTTGCTGTGGCAGCCATGGCTCTGGCATTGGCTTCGCTCTTGATGACCTTCAATTGATTTTTGTAGATTTTCATTTGCAATGCAGAGCATTGAATTTGCACCCATGGTAAGGTGGGAGTGGCAGGTGCGGCACCAGGGGCAGCTGCAGCAGCATCAGGGGTGCCACTACATTGGTTCAAAGATTGTTCAGCACGGGCCATGGTATCGAAAACGCGTTGTCTCAAGTCTTCGGGTAGATCTGGTCTTACCAACAGCTTACCGGCCTCTTTTTGCAAAACCAAAGATTGATAGAATTGAGCTGGCGAGAGACCGGCAAATGATGATGGAAAACCGGGGTATAAGCCAGCTGCTGCTGGAGCTTGGGCCTAAATAAAATTAAAAATATTAATTATTCCGTTTTAAATGTTATTATCATACCTGAGTGTAAGCCAAAGCACAAATCACTAATACAGCCACAAAGGATTTCATTTTTATTCAATTTAGTATTGAAAGATGCTCGTACAGAAAATTATGAGATTCGTTGAATGTTCGTTAAGTGAATAATGTTAATGGACACCATGGCTATTGCTTTTATAGAAGACCACCCAAACCATTCATCCCATTCATTCATCTATCTATGTCAACCAAATAGCTACCGTTTTTTTCTCTTCTTATTCATAGATAGCAGATAACATACAAATATCGGTGAGTATGTCTCTATGTACATAGATCTTATCTGGCGCTATCCGAGGTTATACATTTTTCTATATGTTTGTTATGGTTTTTGTGTTCTCCAGTCTGCTGCTGTTGCTGTTGCCTGTCATATTCTGTGTCAGAATGCAATTTTTATTATATTGTTTTTTAATATCTGTATTTTGCCGTATTGTATATTATCTCGAAAAAAATTAAATAAAACATGAACTGTTTTTTTTTATTCTTTGAAAAAAAGATAATTTACGATTTCCTGCTTTGTGATATATGTTTCTGCTATGACTAATTGAATGGAAATTTCTAATTTATTTTTGGTATATAAATAAATTATCTTTAAATAAAATAAACACTAGACTAGAATTTTGTTATCTATGGCTCGTGGATTTCTTGACAAAGTGTCAAAATTATAACAACATCTGTGGAAAAATATGTCCAAAAAAAATTAAAACTATTTACAGTGAAGGGCAGATGTGAAAGTTAGGGTAAATCCTCACCTTTCTCACAGCTAAATTATGAAAATATTATTCGAGTTTTGGCCAGGTGTTATAAATGTTTATGTATGCTACTACGTAAATTTGTCAAAAATAACTAATATCAAGCTAAAGGTTGCACATCATTGACGGAAGCTGAACCCAAACCAACAAAGGTTATATTTTTATTATTTTTATATTATTTCCATTTTATTCGAACGAAAGAATTGTTTCCGAATGCATGTAAATGTTGTCTTTCCCGCATGCTCTGCACTGCTCCTACCTTAGCATCCAATCTTGAGTAGGCTGAAGCGTCCCGTAAGAATACCCATCTTGTTTCCTATTTTTCTTTAGCTTTAGGATTTGCTTAGTTTTGTCTTCATATGGGTCACCCCATAAGATTTCTTATTTCGGTATTTCCTGTCCCCTCATTTACCCAAATGGTTTTGTGGGTCTCATTTCTTGGCGTGTTGCGCTAAAGGGTTTGGCGGTATTCACATCTTATGTGGGTAGTGCAGTAGCACTCCTGGCTAGTTGATTTGCTATATCGTTGCCTATGATTCCTTGGTGACCCGGTATCCATATAATTCGTACAAGTTATTGTTGTGAGAAATCATTAATGGTATTTATACATTCCAGTACAGTTTTGATTTTAACTGTTTTGGCAGATATTGCCTCTATAGCTTATTTGCTATCCGTAATTATATTTGTTGTATTTTGTCCTAGATAACATGAAACTCCGCTTGTTATAGCAGGAAACTCCGTCTTTAAGGCGAAGAGGAATTTCGGTACCCGATTCGTCGATAAAAAGTACCAGTCCAGTTTTTCCTCCTAGCAACAGTTACCAGCCGACATCTGATCTAGAGTTCCACTATTCCATTGTTCTCTATCTGGTATTATAGGTTCGCATCGTGTTACTACTCTCGTTTCAAGTATGCTGTCTGAATCAAATGTGTTGCTTGATGACTCAGTAGTTGCTGGTAATATGTTTTTGTGCGGTATGCTGTATCCGGTGTCTATCCACTAGTCCGTTGCTTTGAGTCTTAAAGCTGCAACCGCCGCTTCATATTTTATTTGGATGTCTATTGGATGTATATATAGTATTGTCTCTAAAGCCCAACACGTTCTCTGAACTTTCCGCAACGCTTTTACGATAAATTTTGTATCCATTACTTTCCACAGACGCGTATGTTAGAATTGGTCTAAAAACTCTTTTATAGATCCAGTGCATCATCTTAGAATTGAAAACCCATTTAGAGCCTATGGCTCTTCTGCAGAAAAACCAACATCTATGGGCATTGTCAGCCCTTTACTGTATGTGGTCTTTCCATTTAAGTTTCATGTCTAGAATTACTCCCAGATACTTAACATTGTTTGATAGGGCTATCGTTTTGTTTTGGAAGATGGGCTCTTCATACTGAATATTTTTTTCTTTCTAGTGAAAAGACATATCTCCGTTTTGTCCGGATTTACGTTTAAGCCCCTCAGTTTAGCTCCATTGGTAGGCGATGTTGAGCACCGTTTCGGCTTTCCTGCATAGTAAGTTAGGATTATTTCCCCTAAGAAGTATTATAACGTCCTCTGGTTCAAAATCTTCTTTAAGAGTCCATTTATGGTAGTTACCTACAGGAGCGGTGACAAAATCACTCCCTGTGGTGTTCCCTGATCTACTTTGTCTCTCCTGTTATGTGCTGTATGGTACACCTAATTCATCTATTCCTTGACATATAATTAACCCAGCCTATGATTGCCGGTCAACTTGGAAAGTATCTAAGCTTTTTAAGGTGTCTAACACCATTGACTTGTCAATTATAGGTTCCTCTGATCTTTACTCCCTATCTGCCATGACATCGTTCATTGTCGATGTGTTCGATGAGAAGTGAGCATTCATTAGGAACCTTAATGTTTCCTCGATATTGCGATGTGCAGAGTTTGAACGAAATCGGATACTCCGTTCGATAGATTTCGTGCGCAACATGTTTCCAAAGAAACATGTGGTCTAAAACTAATATTTCGATGAGGTACATTTTTATCATATCAAAGTAGAGATTTTTTCCATAAGCCGAACTTAAAAAAGGCGTGTCGATATTGTATGCAGCTCTTCCCATTTAAAAGACTCTGCTTCGAAATGTTGTCTTCCACTTGATCAATCATTCCATTAAATTCGTGGTTCGCCTTTTGAGCTGGGGCATCCTCGTCCATTCTCACAACACGACCTAGCCAAAGTAGTCGCTGCAGCTCGATACGTCTGACTATGTCTATGTCCGAGAATAGATGGTACATCTCATGGTTCATTCGACGGCGATATACACCGTCAACTAGATCTCTAGATATCTTGGATATTTTTCTGCCTCATCGGCTTGCGCAAGTACCCATGCTTCAGCGTGTTGTAGAGTGTGAAATTGGTCTGCCGTGTGAGATTTGAATTGCTTACTCAGATTATATTATTATTTCTATTTATGGCGGTACCGAGGTATAAAAAACCTTTGACAACCTCGAAGCTGTAATTTTCAATGTCTACTGTTGGTTCGAGTCTAATGGATGCCCTGCGCGTTGATGCCATCAATTTAAAAGGTCATACGATAAACTGGCAGCTTGTTTGAATCCTCGTTCGGCATTGAAGGGCTCTGAGAGGTCCTTTCCGACTTTAACTGCAGACTCAGTTGTTCAGACATCACGCTGGATAGCACTTTAGATGCGATGGGAAGGAGACAAATTTCGCTATAGTTGGCTCATATAGTCTTATCTCATTTTTGTGCATACGGAACACAGGATGCTGAGGTTCCGATAATTGGGCATGTATTCCTCTAGCCCAATTGTACAAATCTTGGAGCATGCTTAAATAGTTCGGCTTCTGCGGCTTTATTATTCTTCAGCCGATTAAGTGCTATTCTGATCTCGTCTTGGCTCTGGGGTATCTTCTTCACCGAAACTATTTGATATCAGAAGCTTTGCAAAACTCCTCCTTTGGAATATATTTTTTTCCGAGCATAAACAACCTACTATAGATGTACCAATCGATTTTAGGAATTTTTAATGCACACAATTTAGAAAGGGCACCACTAGCATCTGCATTAGTTCTCTCATAGATATTCAATGATTGTTGACCTGATCGACCATCGGTCAGAAATTTAACCATGAATTGTTAAGTTCACAGCAATTGGGCCTCAATTCAAAATAAAAATTATACAAGAATTTTGGTTGAATGGGCTCTTGGAAAGTTAGCCGAAGATCCACTTCACGAGATCATGCCAAGATTTGACTTATCAAATGTACCAACATGTGTATGAAATATTCATAAAACTTTCAAATTAAGATTTTATGAATTTTTCTTAATTTTATTTGTTTTTTTTTACTTTTCTATGCCTTATAAAAATCATCACCTGCTCATAGTCGACGCGCCAAATGTCACAGTCAACATTTGATCATTTAATTGCACTATATGGTATCCTACCCTATGTGGTGTAGGATACCATGTAGTATGCTCTGTCCGAAATGGTCCTCCCCTTGCTGTTTTCTTAGTTCTAGTTTTATTTAATCTTCTTTATATGATATTCAAATCTTTGATGGTTTATCTGGATATAAAGACTGGTCTCTTTATCCTTGTGGAAAAAACTGCAGAGTAAATTTTCACATCTTCCCGCCATTTCAGATAAATTTTTTGTATGCTACAGAATTTTTTTTTCAATTTTAGTCGAATGCAAAGCCTTTTAAAATAGCTATGACATCTTCACGTCAACAATTCAGAATCGTCTACCTCTAGTGGCGAATAGTGACATTACTAATATAAAGTACACCGTGGCAACGTTGCTACCAACATAGTGGCAATATTGTCACCTAACTGTTACATTTTTGAACATCTTTATTTAAATACGAATAAATTCCAATGTCTTACATAACTACTTTAAATAACATGTTATCTTTCAAAAGTTTATACTTTTATGATATTTATTTTAAAACTAAAAAAAATCAATTTTTATTTTTTTACAACAAAAATTCAATATTTAACATTCGAATATTCTCGAACAATTTTTATGAATGAACAGCACCACATCACATCGTTACTCTCCTCCAACCAATCAACCACCCACCCACTATTTGTCACAAAATTCCTATGTACACTTAATCCTTGTGACTACGTAATATTTCTAACACATACATACACACACAAACCATAACTATGTACATACATTTTTACAACCTAAAATGACGACATTCATGCGTAACGAGTAAAAGATTTATCTCACCCGTTACAATGGTCCAAAAACGTTTCCTACAAAAAAATAAAAAAAAAAAATGCTACAACGGCCATCCCCAACCATTCCATTCATGTCATGGCGTCAGCATGTCTGCCTCTATATTTTATTAAAACAAATTCTCTTGTTTGCTTCGATTTGTTTTTATTACTCATTATTAGGAAATTTCCCTTCCGTGAATAGGGCCAAAAAGCATAGACCTGAAAGAAAACCACCCCTGTTTAAAGGCCCATTCGTAGAGTAGTAGCCTTCAACTTGACATTTTAATGCGCTCAGTGCTCAGTGAGAGTAAAACAAGGAAAGAGAGGAAAGTAAAGTATGATTAACCACATTATCGATTACTTTGCACTTTGTTAACACTAGTGCAAAAATGGGCAAGAGATCATAGTCAGTGATGTAATGGAGGCGGCGTAGTTGCCAGTATACTGTTAGGAAAAAAAGTTTGTATACACCTGGTAGGTTAGAGTGTTTGAATACATATCTATAGATGCAAAAAAATCGAAGGATATGTTTTCATTAACTTTGACAAAAATTCCAAATATTATTGCCGTAGTTAGTTCTTAAACATATATGAAATGGTTGTTTATAATTCAGATTGTTATGATTATTGAAAAGAACCTAATGAAAGGGAGTTTGTCAGTCTCCTACCGGACCCAAACTTATTAAAGACAGTTAAATCTGGTTCGATCCCCACATTTAGGGTCTTGTCACTCAAAACTGTATATGGGTGTCTTCCTCTAAAACAAAAAGATAACATGAAATGTACAAAGATGATAAATTTATGGCGCAGATAAGTCAACACCAGCAGGTGTCGCTGATGTGCCCACGAATCACGCCCGTCGTCATCCAGCTATCGTAGGCAAATATCTGGCATATAAAAAACAAAAATGTATCAGAGTTTAAGAACCATAGAGGAAGAGCAATCTCGACCAAATCTTCTGTGACAGGAGGGGACTCCTAAGTACCCTAAGTCTGAACATGAGGATAAGATTGACACATCCGTTCCAGAATTCCGAAGAATCAAAGAGGCTGATAAGATAGTTGGGGAAGTGAACAAGGACATCGCCAAACTTGTAGCTAGAAATAAACAATTATCAAAGCCGAAAAGTGTCCACAATGAACCGAATGGACAAGAACGAACAGCAAATCGATTATCAGAAGGATAAGCCTGACTTTGCTACCATTACGTCGGAAGTGGCGAAAAGGATTATGTCTACGAAAGAACTGACGAACGCCAAACCCGAAAAAAATAAAAATTGCTTCCTGTCGGCTGATAGAGATGGCACGGCATATCACGACGGTCCATCGACTGAAAGTGGTGATGTCAGCTCTAATATCAAGACGACGAGCGCTGCATCCGAATCTTCACGAAGACTAGCAGCTCTAAAAATTCTAACCGCTAACTATAGGAAGAATTCAGCAGCAGTTGGTAAAGAGCCGTCATCTTATGCATAGATTATCATGAAGCGCTTCAGAGAGTAGTGTTCGCCGAGAACAGTGCGTCTGGGAAACTAAAAAAAGTATCCTGGAGCACCTGTTGCAATGGAGGGCCGTAGATCTTCAAGATTGGGAAGGCAAGAACTGGGGAGGAAGAGGCCCAGTAACTAGAGCAGTGGTATACTTACTAATTAAAATACGGGAGCTTGATCATAGATAAATTAGGGAAGCCCAACTATGGCAGCCTAAACACCGAAGAATTAGACAGAAATGCCAACCATTTAAAGAAGAAAGTCCTTCGAAAAAAGTTGTCCGTTTCGAGAAAGGAAATCTGCCTTAGAAAAACACTAAATGACATGGGAGACAAGAATCAACGAAAAGTTTTTACAACAGAGCTCGTCGCGAAAAAGCTTTTGTATACTGGGATAAAAACCACTTTTACCGAAAAGAATAGAACCGGTTAACGCAACTCCTAGAAAATGTTATTTGAATTTTCAAAGAATAAAGAAGTTTCTATTAAAAACCCGCACTCAAAGCGAAATCATGATAGATGAGGAGGATAACATAATAAAGACAACAGAAGAAACTTATTGTTTCCTCATGAAATCACACTTTCCACCGAACACATCAACATCCGATTATGTAACGGTTATTATGTAACGGTCGAAGAAAACAGTAAGCAAAAACTCCACATTTGACCGAACTTGTCCTTTTTCAGGTCATCCTCTTTTGCTCTACTTCGATTCGACTAAAGTAAAATTTCTTGCTTTTTAATAGACTCGCTAAAGCTTTCATCCCAACCTCAGACCATGCGCTCCATTTTATCGCATAAACTAATTTTCAATTAAGAAAAATCCTCCTAACAGAATTTACAAGGTATATATTTTCATGTCTTGATCCTTTCACCTCCTCCTTTGGTTGAGGGTATAACATTTTGTACCCGGTTTTTTTAAACTTTTCGAGACTCTCTTCAGGCCAAACAAATTACTGTGGCTCTACGGGTATGTCGAGTATGATAGACTCCTTCCGAATATATTGATTTTGGTAAGGAGTTTTTGGTATGAATAATATCTAATTTCAGATATTTATTAGAAAATATTTTTTTTAAAAATATATTTATATAAGCAATTGATTACATTTTATATAAATATATTTTTTAATATTTTGTTTTATATTTTTATAACTATATTTAAATATTATTTTTATTTAAAAATAATTTTAAACGAGCAAAATTTAATTGCTAACAATTCAGCCGTCCACTGTGAAACAAAAATGAACGGCGTCGCCGTTTAACGTCATCAATTTTTGTTATCAACCGACTCTGCTCTCTGAAGAGATTCTCATCAGAGATAGAAGTTGCTCGAGAAAAATTAAATTGTGTAAACGTTCAGTAGAGAGTAAACCAAACTTGCGAAAAAAGTAGAACACACAAAAACGGGAAGAAAAAAAGAAACAATTAGCAATAAACGCCTAACAATAAATTCTGAAAAAAAAATCGACAAACAAATTTGCACAATAACTAAATTTTAAGCGATAAAGTGAAAATAATTCAAATTTTGAATGTCAATTTAGTCCAAAAAAACACGAAATATTCGAAAGAAGAAAAAAAAATTAAGCTGAAGGTGATTGATTTTTCCTCGTAGTTTCGCTGCTACCGTTATCGTCGTTGTCGTTACCATTGGACGTGCGTGTGTGTATATAGCGTTTGTTGGTTACACTTGGTGCTGGTGGTATTTGGAGAAAGCATTCAAGCAGAAGCAGAGGAGGAGAAGAAAAAAAAATCGGGCAGCAGCCAGTTAGTCCGCTGTCGTAGTAGTAATAACGAAGAAAAAAAATCGAACGTTTTGTTCCCCATTGATAATTTTTTTGTTGTGAAAAGAAATCACAAACAGCTCCAGCATGGCCTTTGCAGGATTCAAGAAACAAATTAACAAAGCCAATCAGTATGTGACGGAAAAAATGGGTGGTGCCGAGGGCACCAAACTCGATTTGGATTTCGTGGAGATGGAACGCAAAACAGACGTAACTGTCGAACTGGTCGAGGAACTGCAGGTGAAGACCAAGGAATTCCTGCAGCCAAATCCCACGGCCAGAGCCAAGATGGCAGCCGTCAAGGGCATCTCGAAATTGTCTGGACAGGCAAAATCGAATACGTATCCTCAGCCCGAAGGCCTTTTGGCTGATTGTATGTTGACTTATGGCAAAAAGCTAGGCGAAGACAATAGCGTTTTTGCGCAGGCGCTAGTTGAGTTTGGCGAAGCGCTGAGACAAATGGCCGATGTCAAATATTCACTGGACGACAATATCAAACAAAACTTCCTGGAACCACTGCACCACATGCAAATGAAAGATCTGAAGGAGGTTATGCACCATCGAAAGAAGCTGCAGGGACGGCGACTTGACTTCGATTGCAAACGTCGCCGACAGGCCAAAGATGATGAAATACGTAGTTCCGAGGAAAAGTTCGCCGAATCGTTGCACCTTGCCCAAATGGGTATGTTCAACTTGCTCGAGAATGACACCGAGCAAGTATCGCAACTGGTAACTTTCGCCGAGGCTCTATACGAATTTCACTCCCAGTGCGCTGATATTTTGCGCGGTCTGCAGGAAACGTTGCAAGAGAAACGGGAAGAAGCCGAATCGCGTCCTAAACCGGAATTTGTGCCCAAAACTCTACTCGATTTGAATTTGGACGGAACGGGCAATGACACGGAGAGCTCGGGCACACCAGCCCACCATAGGGCGGCTGGTGCATCTCCGCTGCCATCGCCTATGCGTTCACCGGCAAAATCGATGGCCACAACACCGTCGCGACAACAGATGCAGCCCTATTGCCAGGCGTTGTACGATTTCGATCCGCAAAATCCCGGCGAGTTGGGCTTTAAAGAACATGAAATTATAACGCTTCTGAGTCGCGTCGACGAAAATTGGTTTGAGGGCTCAATCAACGGTCGCACTGGCTACTTTCCACAATCGTATGTGCAGGTGGTTGTACCACTACCAAATGGTAATTAAATGGCAACAAAATGCATGCATACCCCTCCCCGAGAATAAAACAAAAACACAAACAAGGATTATGAATGATGCTATTACAATAATGTTGATGATGTGAAAAAGACCCCCCCTCAACATCCAAACACCAGGAGGCTGTTTCCCACGATAATGATAATTACTATGATATTGATGATGAAGATGATTATGCTAACAATGTTGATTATGCATATATTATACAAATATATATAGCTTCAAATGATTATGACATGCAGTGAAAACGAAGAAAATTATATACATATATATTGGAAATGTAAGTTTTATATAAGACCCCCCACATCTTATACTGGTATTGTATTATGTATTTTGAGAGGATGTTGATGACGACGATGAAGAAGAAGAGGGAAATTAATGAATTTTTTCAGTGTCTATGGAAAAAGCATAACAAGAATTGGCAAACAATAATTAATTTATAATGTGAAAACAACAACAACAAAAATTAAATTAAAATTTTAATTATTGCAAAAAAAAAGAAATCTTTAATTACAATTAAATTTTACAATTTAAATGTTAATTATAAATTTAAAAAACAAAATGAAAACACAATTCGAGATAAAAAGTCAAGCTAACAAAACAAAAAAATGCAATTTTAAATGAAAACAAAACACAATAACTACAAAACATTTAGTCAAACATTTTTAAAATGATTAATAACAAAAAAAGAAGAGAGTAACAAAATGCTTCAATTTTTTGAGAAAAAAACATCAAGTTAACGATATTTATAAAATCTTTTTTTAAGTTTTATATTATATTCTTTTGTTTTATATTGGCCTAATATTTTTCTGTTAAAACATTCCCCACAGATATTGAAAATGTTATTTAATTCCACAATTTTGTATACTTGTCTTGATTTTCCAGATTAGCTGATATGGCTTTTCTGCATATTTTTCCAAATCTTATCGCAATGAATAAACATTTTTTTATCAGCTGTTTACATTTCTGAAATGTATTAACTGGGTATTATCGATTAATGAGGGTGTAGTCGAATAATGGAAAATTAAACATATTTCGGCTTCTTTTTTAAATTAATCATATCAATACACAATATGTTCAAATGGTCTTATTATTCTATATATAAATTTCTAATAAACTAGTTATTTATTTCTAGAGGAAAAAGTAAATTTGAATGCATTGGTTATAAACATATTGTGAATTAACAAACAAGTTAAAAAATAAGGAAGATCTTGAGCGAATGGATTTAGATGGGGTGCTGAAATAATGTTCAAAAATGGACTATATATACCTAGAACTTTTTGATCTTTTGTCCCCCGTTTTTAAATGAAATAGTTAGTTTTTCTTCGGTTCTTATTTGTAGCAAATCTACCTACTAAAAACGAATCAATATTGGTCCACTTTTTCGGATAGCCCCATTTACTGCCATACCCACTTTGGCAGACTCCTCAATTTGTTCAAAGGTGACTGTTACCGCTTGTAATGGTCCGCCAATTATACCGATGTCATCGGCGTAGGCGAGTAACATGTGTTGTTTAGTGTGCAGAGTGTCATTTATGTTTACCTTGGCCTCTTGTATGTCCTTTTCCAGCAGGATGTTAACAAGATCACACGACAAACCGTCTCCTTGTCTAAATTGTCGTTCGTTCTCCGGTAGGTCCTTCCTAAATAAAAGATCACACGACAAACTGTCACCATGCCTGAATCCTCGTTCGGTATTAAAGGTCTCCGATAGACCCTTTCTTAATTTAATTGCTGACCTTGTGTCAGTTAAAGTTATACAGCATACCCGTATTAATTTTTCAGGAATGCAGTCTACACATTATCAGTCAAATACAACGACGTTTCAACTGGGCATTCAAATATCGTATATGCATTTGATAACCGATGAATTCCCCTGGAGTTATAGAATCCTTGTTGTCTCGTACATTTTACATAACTAACGTATACAAGTCTCACCAATTCTGTCCTTTTTTGTAGTTGTAGTTTTTATGGTAAATGAATTATCCTCTATCCTTAAACTCTCTATTTTAGTTGTAGAACTTCTATTTTCCGAGCAAACACAGGCGATTTCAATTTGTTTACCGCTGTAACGGGAGAGAATCGTTTTTGTATCCAGTAGTTCGGATGACCTAATGCCTCTTTAAAGGATCGATGAATGGTCGGCTTTTGTTTCCTCAAATCATTCCATACTCAGAATCCGAGTCAAATACTTAACGGGATTCAATTTAAGTTCATCCCTTTATAGGGATCATCAGTGACCGTTGTCTTCTATTCCACGCAGACAAATTGAATACTCCGTTCCTATTTCTACGTAAAAGCCCTCGTCCGATTGTCTTTAACGACCTGTTAATAGGGCCGTTTTCCTCAAGACATTATTCACAGACTAGGGACGATTTCTTTGTGTCCCTTAGGATAGGTATCAGGCTGTCCTCAAATACTTCATAGAAGGGACATTTTATCCGTTATATGTCATCGTTTTTTTCGTCCTTCCTCGCGAATATCATAGAAAAGCATTATGAACTTCTCAATAATAAATGTATATTGTTATCTTCTCCGAGTTTGTCGCCAGTGTCATTCATCGACACGGTTGATGGTTGGTCGTACTAAATTTTCTATATATACTTTGAAATGTGAAATGTGCATTTTATTCTGTCTAAAATAGGACCTTTTGGTGTACAGGTTTTAGCATTTTCATTCATTTGATCACTATAAGAATTCATGTGGGTCTATAATACCCACATGAACTGTACTCCTTGTTATAGATAATGGTCGTTCCATTAGAGACAATACAATTCTTTGCAAGTTTCTGGTGTATTTTATTGTAATATCATTTTTGAAATTCAGACGCCCTTGGTCAGTATTTCTAATACTTATAGCTCTGGCAGGAAATCATATTTCAAAAAGATTACTACTGCCTTAATTAAAGTTACTAAAGCTTATTACTTTGGAACGGCTTTTTGGAAAGACCACAACTTCGTTGCACATTCAGTGCATTCCGTATGAATTGTATGGCCAATATATTGGTCTTTTTTGAAATACACAAAAATAATTTTGTTATATTTTATTGTATTCCAAGACAAACTTTTTGTGGAAATAATGTGCAATAAAAAATTTATTTATTTGTTTTGTTTTATCAATAATCATTTCATTTATTTTTTACAAAAACCTTATTTTAATATTTTCTTTACTGTTATTTTATTTTAATATTTACACCCAATAACCATAGGTTTTGAATAAATGTTTAAATTGTTCTTGATATAGTTGTTATATTGTACGTAGTGCCTGCCATAAAATATATCAATTTTATCAAAATGCAATTAAAGCAGTAACCCAACCCGTATATTCAAAGCCTATACCAAGAGAAAGAATTTTAATAAAAATAATAATATCCTCCCCCTTAAACCAAAACAAAACTCCTCTCAAATTATAAAATATATATTTATATAAAATATATTTTTAAAATTATAAGAATTATACAAATTTGTATGTGTCTATTCCAAATGTTTTTTCTGTATTTTTTGTAATTGCCACAAATCAAAAAAAAGTACGGAATAATTATTTATTTTTTATCAAATACCTAATCTACATACCCAAATCAAGATAACGAAAAACAAAATTATGTTATTTTTCTATAATATTTTAAAAATATCCCCTCCGCCCTACTCTCCTTCAACTTTATACAATATATGTAATAAATTTACAAAAAGGGATATATCTTTTAAATGTTTACCTACTATGTGTATTTTTGACCTAATTGTTTATTAGTATATTACTTTATAAGCAAGCAGTTATAATCACAAAATGACATACATGTCGTTACACATCATTAATTTATATTTCATTTTTTTATATACATTTATTTTTCACATATAATAAGTGGGTCTATGATAAACACCTTAAAAAGTATAGACATTGATTCTTTATCGTTTTTTGTTTGTTTTCTTTTGAGATTTTGCCAATTTTTCAAATCAATTTTATGCTGACTAAGAATGTGCACCATCAACGTCATTATTGTCACAACAAAATTGTTTTAGATACATATATAGTCTATTGCAAATTTACACAATGCAACAAAAATTAAATTTCTACAAAATTCAAATTAATATTTCTAATGTTTTTATGGTCACGTGCCATAAAACCAATTGATATGGTAACCTAAATTATTTTATTCTTCGTATATGTTCGCTGGATGTTAAAGTCCAAAGTTGATATGCTATTTCAGTTAAAGTCTTAAAATATAAGTCTTGTAAATCATTAGTGGGTGAAAGCCAACCTACCAAAAACTGTCTACATATTTCCAATTTCAACATTCCCCTCAGTTATTATTATTCCTGAGCCTATTTATTATGTAGCACTGTGTTTTTACATATTCTAATCGTTATGCTATGTGTTTTCTTTTATTAGCACTTTGGGACATTACTTTATCGCCTACATGTTATAAATATATTTTAGATGTAGTATTAAAATATATTTATAAATAATTTGGATGCATTCCTTTTCGTATATATTATTAATGATTATTCTGCTTGTTGGTTCGATATAATAATAGGTTTTAGGAGGTATAATGATTATGGTAGAATTGGAAGAATTTTTAAGTATTATTATTCAACATTTGAAAAACAGACTCTTAAAAAATTGGTCAAATATTAGTTACCTATTGAAAGAGAATACGTCCTTGTAACATGTATCTGTTGAAGGAGTCCAGACATTACGGGTTGCCAGGTTAGGTTATGAATCACACCTTGTTCGCAGTATGGTGATATCTTTCGAGCCGTAGTAATGATAAACTTTTATTTGATGGACAATGAATAGAAATGCCAGTCGTATCAGGTGGATGACTTATAGACACCTAGAACTTTTGTGTTATTAATAGTCGGTCCAAATTAAGTTTTTGTTTGAAACTGGACAACAACGCAGAAGGTGGGCAATTCAGTCAGGCTGGCAACCTTAATCAGAGCCATAAGGATACACTTTGTTGCAGTCCCCATGGCGGCATGCCGGTAGGATAAAGCTTCACAG